AACTGAAACGAACCTTAATCTCTGAAACAGTAGCCTGTCAAAAGGCTTTAAAAGCTAGAAGGCAACAAAAAACCTGGGACCCTCCTCGTGGATCAAAACTTGCCTTCTGGTTGCAATAAGTATTCGTTGCATCCCTTATTTTTAAAAAAGTTGTAATAAATTTATTCAAACTTTTTAGTTATATTTTATATTTAAAATTTTCTTTATATAAATAAACATTATTACTTATTACTGGTAATAACACCAAACTGTAAGATCGTGGTCCAAAAAGTCTTTAAAATGGAACAATAATTATTTGTTCCGTAACGAAAAAAAATTTCTGCAAGATGTAAACAACTCCGGGGCCGATTTGAAGTGTCGATTCCCTCGGAGATCACGTTACCGCCAATTTTTTGCGCCATGACTATGCTACCCATCTATGACTCTCCCGTAATGTCCTTCGGACAATCACTGATTTCCAATGTATAACTTAGATATGAAGTTAAGTAATCTTCAATTATTTTTAAGCTAAATGTAAGTAAAAATTTCTGTGGATGTTTGATACAGAGATTCAAAAAAAATAATAATAATAATAATTTTAAAAGATTTCTTACTTTCAAAAAACAACCCAACCAATAATAATAATTTATAAATTATAAATTAAGTGAAAAGAAATATTTATCTTAGATATGATAGAATTTTGATAATTAAGAAAAATTGCTATAGTTGCACCTTCCTAAGTACACATCACATAAACACATTTTATATAATTTAATTTAAATCTAATTTGAAGACTTGCTCAAAATTTCTACTGCACTAAATATATTCGGAAAATTTTTGAGTATCAACTATCTTGCTGATATACATATTTTGAGAATGTATTTGCTTGATCTGTTCTGGTTTAATCTTATCAGCTTCTAAAAATTGTTTTTTGATTTCATTACCATTCTCCTGATCTATTTCATCTAACCAACGATTGATTATTTCCTTAATTTCTGTTGCAGTAGGTCGTTTATCAAAATCTTTATCTATACATTTCATAGTTAATTTAACATACCAATCTGGTCCTAAACACTTAGATCTTGATCCATCGATAATTCTTGATACAAGATCACTATTAAGTGGAATTCCATCAAAAGCTCTTTGTCCGGTCGAAATCTCAGTCGCAGTAACTCCGAGACTGTAAATATCTGATGCTTGAGTATATGGTTTATCCATCAAAACTTCAGGTGCTATGTACGGTAGAATTCCACAAATTTTTCCTTTCTTTACTTCTTTTGAAAGTCCAAGATCAGCAATATACGCATCGTACAAACTATCTCCTTGCAAAATACTTCCGCTGTGTAAATCTCTGTGAACGAGTTCCTGCGAATGAGTCGACTCGAGATCCAAAGCTATATAGTACAAGATGCCCAATTTATCTTTCCATTTCAATTGCGATATTTGTACAAGATTTTGCCGTAGCGAACCTTTTAATGCATAATCCATAACAACAATATAGTCGCCATAATTATTTCTTGATACTCCAACACATCCCAAGAACGAAGGATTTTCGTATCCAATTTCACAGTGATTTTTTAATTCCTGGATAAATTCTTGCTCATTTTTGTTTGAATCGCGAATCACTTTAAGTGCACCACACTTCCGAGTACTATTAGTTCTATCGTTCCAACGTGCAGAATATACAGTTGCAAACCCTCCCTTTCCTTCTTCGTTGATATTTCTAAACTCATTATAATCAATCCATAATAATTTAAATCTCTCATCGTCTAATATTTTCTTAAGTTCAGGATTGATGTGATCAGGTGATTTATTAGTTTTTAAAAGGCCTCTATATTTTTTGGACCAATAATTTGTGTTTTGAATATTTCCCTTTGTACCAACACCGTTTCTATAAAATCGAGCAACACTACTCATTGCTTCGCTATAACCCATATTAGCAGATTTTTGATAGTATTCAAATGCTTTATTATAATCTTGATCAACCCCATATCCATATCCATAACAAATACCAACACTACACACTGCACTAGCATCATTTAAATCAGCAGATATTCAAATGCTTTCTGGTAATTTCTTTTTACTCCATTTCCAAAATTATAACATCATTCATTGCAGTTGGGTTTCCTAACTCAGCTGCTCTCATATAATATTCAAAAGCCTTCTTTTTGTTTTTCACAACACCAATACCATATTCATAATTGCAACCAAGTGTACGAAGTTGTTCAGAGTCCATTTTATTTTAAGAGATAAAAAAAATTTATGACTAAATAAAATGCAAATTGTCTGGAGTGCAGTAGACATTTAATGCGTCAAAGTGGTACAGCAATAAATTCGTTTTTGATTAGTTACTTATATTTCGCATCAACAACGTAATTTTTAAAATTTTTCATATCTGTCTGTATGCATATTTGTATTTTAGTGTAACAGACCTAAAATTCGTCATGAATCGTAGTCCACAGCTGATAATGGCTTATACATTAATGATTTTTGGAAATTAGCTTACAAAAAAAAATCGATATCGATATTGCTACAACATAATCCTGCTATAGGTAGTAAGTGATACTTTGTAAATCTGATCATCACCAATGTATTTTATTTACAGAAAGCAAACTAAAAGTTTTGATTATCAATTTTAATGCTCAGAACTTTATTAAATATATGTTTAGCAATTGTACACGTTCATGTAACATAAATTTCAATATATGAAATTTAGGACTTTTTTTTTAAACATCGTAATAATCATCTTCACAAACTTCTTTGGTAATTCCATTAAGACGAACTGGTTGAAGTGAAGGAATATCTAAAGAATAAAAAAAATAGTTTAAAATTATATGTCATGAAATACTTACATAAGTGATTTAGAAGTTTGATGCTTTCTTACCAGCTAAAATATTACGGCATGACAAAGATACTTGAGTGAAATCCAAATTCAAGAAAGACAAATTCGGTAAGCCTATATAAAAATAATATCAATTATAAATGAAAGCGTCATAATTGTTTACGAGAAAATCGTATATTCGTAAAAAAAAAAGTTACCTCTTAATTCTCTTACTCCTTTATCAGTAACGCGCGTATATCCAACGTCGAGATATTTTAATTTCCTATTTGCAAACGTGGATTTACGGATTGTAGACAATGATGCATTCTTGATACGCGTTTTATTTAAACTAAGGTGGGTAAGTTCGCGTAGGCCTGATTAAAAAATTTTATCTGAATATTAATGGCATTTTCATATGGTAGTAAATATTTGTAATAAAATGTATTATGAATACAATACCGTCTAGATAAACAACACCAGCATCCGTAATTAAGGTTCTATCTAGATATAATTCAACCAGATTTTCCATTTCTATATATGTATATGTATAAAGATCATTAATTATTGTAAATTTTATAAAATAACCATATAAAATTCATAACATTAAATACCTTTTAAGGCAGACATTCCAACGTCAGTCACTTTCGTACCAGACAAGGATAAGAAAGTAAGGCTAAAGTAAAATAAGTTCCTTTCAATAACTCGATATAATTAATGAAATGAAAAATTATTGTTTAAAGCTAACCTCTTGGCTGCTGCAAGATTCATAACTCCCGAATCAGTTACATTTATAAAACCGGTCAAGTCCATTTTTACCAACGGCAATTCTATAAAAAAAAATATATATAATAAGATTAAAGTCGCCTTAAAAAAAATCAATACCTAAAACCTTTTAAAATTTACCAGAAAAGTCTTGTAATATGTCATCCAATTCTTCCTCTCGATTCGGGAAATTAATGTAATTAAGAGATTTGAACTCTACAAATATATAATGTTGGTTATTTAAAAACTTAAATATAATTATTACTAAAGAAAACAACAAGGTAATCACTTTTTTTACCTTTCGCCATCCACTTCAATCCAAATTGGCCAATGCCAATGGTTTCTATTAATATAAGCTCAACCATATTTTTAAATTGGCATATAATTTTCATCACATCTTGGTCACAAAGTCGCGTTCTAGATAAATCCAACATTTCCAATTGTCTAAAACTAGAAGGTTTTACTGGTACAAGTGGAGGGGTTAATTGTACACTGTCAAGATTGAGATGTCGAAGATTCTGTAATGCTGTTATAAATAGAAAAAAAAAATATTAGGTTTAAATTATAGAAACTTTCATTAAAAATTTATTCAATATATTTACATTGCAGGTCCGCGAAAACAGTCTTCCCCCCAACTCCAGGACAGTATGACAAGTTTAAGTCTTCTAATGTAGATGCAAAGGCGCAGTCCGCAAAAAGAGCACGCAGACCATTCATAGTCACCTTTGTCTTTGATAAATTTAATGTTCTTAATTCACCAAAGCCTAAGATTTTGTATAATTGCATGCATGAGAACTTGTTTTGTAAAGCAATGCCTATACTGAAAAAAAAAAAACATTAATCAAACCTTTAAAGTACGGTAAGGTATGATCTCGAATTCGACAGCTCATAACATCAAGATATTCAAGATACTGTAAATCTGTAATTTTACAACGCAATAATATTAAAAATAGACCACTTTTGTTTTAAAACGTTGATAAAAAAAATTATTATTATTTTTTTTTTTACCTTGTAAACAGCTGAACCCATTATCAGTTATCAGCTCACAATTGCGTAGGCTGACCTTTGTTACAGATGAACTTTGGGTATCGCTAATTATTTCCAATAAGGAATCACTCGCCTTGAAATAGTTGTCTAGTATGATATTCTGCAAATGGCTAAAAATAATGAAAAATCAAGTCATTGATTTTTAATTAATTTTTTATAATAATACTCTATATTTGAATAATATTTGATGAAAAAATAAATAACACAAACCAGTTTGTAAATCTCTTGAATGTAAGTCCATCGAGCCTATAAAAAATTTTATGTAAATAATTATAGAGTGAGTAATAAAAGAAAAATTAATAGATCCAAGAACCTAATTCAAAAATGAATTTACTTGTCAAGTTTTATCAATTCATTAACTAATAATTCACCAATATCAGCAGACACGTTGCTAAGAGATTGTAGAGTTCTCATAGAAGTAGACGATGTAAGGAGAACTATTAATTATATTCATTAGTAATTAATGTATTTAATTTTACAGAAATTAAACCATTAAGCTCCAAATGAATTATAGAATTACCTGCAACACAATATGCGCATCTTGACTTTAAAGTGCCAACTTCACGTCTAATACCATGTTTTACGTGCTGCGAATCATTAACTGAAGCAGAATCCTCAGCATGTACTCGTGCCTGTACAGCTTCAGCAATACGTTGCCTTTTTTCTTCATCTATGATAATGAATGTGATTTAAAAAGCATTCATAAATTTTAAACTAATTTACATTTAATATAAATATTACCATCGGAATCATCATCTGAATCCTGCTGCTGCAAAACTGGTTGATTATTTGTTAAACGAAAAACTGTACCAGAAAAGGGTGACGGTCTGGCAAGCATACGGTGAGGTGGACCCATGTTTGGAGGAAATCGACGAGGTGCAAGAGGAGGAGCATTAAATGGATTTCCTGGTTGGACAGGCATAGGAGGATGCACATTAGGCGGGATTCCCGGTTGAAATGGTATTGGAGGGGGTACATTAGTAGGGATTCCTGGTTGAGTAGTTATCGGAGGAGGAAATTGTAGTGGTAAATTTGGAGGAATTCCTTGTTGTAGAGGTATTGGTGGAGGTAAATGCTGTGGTAAATTTAAGGGAGGCCCTTGCGGTCCAGAAAGTGGATTTGGAACATTTGGTAACGATTGTCTTATGCTATTGTCACCATCGTCATCACTTGAATCATCTCCAGTGATAGAACTTGTAACTCTGCTTATCGGAGATTGTGCAGTAATAGAAGGTACATCTAACTTTACTACGTTCAGTGAAGCATTTGGAACTAAACCAGCATCGGCAAGTGTCGAACCCATCTCATCATCGCCAAAGACCTTTCGTGGAAAAGGTAACAACAATTGAAACTTTTTGCTTGGCTCATTCTTACTAACAACCCAATTAAAGAGGTCAGATACAAGAGCAGTATTATTAAATTTTTGACGTATTGCCTGACCAGTTGATAAACGGATCTGAATAAGAGTTGAATCAGATTGTTCAGTTTTTAGTGGAGTAGAGATGGCATAAGAACTTGCTGAACTGCTACTTTCAACTTTATGGGATATCTTGCGCAATTTCAAATTTTCACGATCCTCTTTAATTGCTAATAATGTTTTTTTACGAGCCTCTCTCTCTAAAAGCTTTAATCTCTTCATTTCCTCAGTAGCCTTTGCGGCTTTTGCTTTCGACTCCTTAGTATAGTCATCATCATCATCATCAGGCGTTGAATAGCGTGATACGACCATTGGTTTTGAGGTAGAACTAGACTAAAAATTAAAAAGTCATAATAATTGGTCATTTAAAATTTAATAAAAAACGAAATAAAGTAGAAAATTTACCCACAGCCGCTGATGAAGACTGTTCAGTATCAACCATCATTGGTGCAGAAACTCTTTCTGAAGATTCAGATAGGCGCAGTACTGGAGAATTGATTGAAGTTGTTCTGTTACCAGAATTTTCATCCAATGTATTCAAAATCCTGAATTATATGATAAAATATTAAGTAAATTTTTTAACATTATATAATTGTAATATTTAGAAGCTAACCATTCAGTAGCTTCTTCCACAGTTTTAGTGCGAGTTATTGCCCTTTGGCATATCCATTCGTCAAAGCCAAAAGAAAGTAATTGAGCCAAGATGACATCGCTATCTTGTTGATTACTAGACATTTTTTTTGTTATTCGTGATTAGAATATAAATTAACTTTCAATTTCAATTTTAAATATTAATCGTTACTAAATATTGGAATTTCAGAATTGGTAGAAGTAAACGGAACGCAATCGAGGACAAGTCCGTTAAGTGACATTTATAGTATCAATATTTCTTAAATGAGGATGTTTTGGTGACGATCTCCTAAAAAAAATTGTTTAATTACGTAATTATATAATTGATGACTTTATTTACTACGCATGTATTTATCACCTAATGACGTTAAGAAAATGAGTCAATTATTTAAATGATTGGATCAATACAATTGAGAAATTAAAGATTTGTCCTTTTAAAATTCTTTCTACAAAAGTTACCCGTTTTTGGTTCATAATATATTTTTAATATAGTTATAATCATCTTGTTTCGTGATATATATGCACGCAAGAAATTTTGCGGCGGCATTCATTTTCTGACAGCTATGGCAGGCCTAATTTATGATAAATTGATGATTGATTGATTTACAGATATGAGCTCGAAAATTTACCCTTTAAGAATAGATAGAGACTCAAGCGAAACTCGAAGCATAAGATATATTGTACTAAAGCTTAGTTGTTATGTTATAGCATTAATTTTAAAAACGGTAAATCATATTTTGTCTATGCGCTGTTATAATAATAGTATAATGATAAAATCATAACTTACGTACCGTAACTTTTTTTCGTAACTAGTGACCGAATTTAATTATACCGCTAATCAAATGGTTTATGCGTTAATTCCAATAATTATAAAATTTAAAGTCGTTTCTTTTGCAGTTCTCAAATAATAGATTATTAGTTTTATAGTATCTATAGCTTACATATAATTTGACAAACCTTATATATTTAAAAGCAACGCTATACATTATCTTAGCAAATGCCAAATGATAGTTCTCAATTCGGATTGAGTTGTTAGACATTATTATTTTGAATGAATCCACACATAATATCATTTTTCGAAAAAGTTTTTCGTTAACTATATAGTTATGACAACATAGTTTATTTACAAAACGATGGAATCATATTATTTTGATATAACCGTAACCGCAATTTGCTGAATACCATAATAACACACTAAAACGATTTATCTTCATTATTTCAGACAAGAAACAGAATAAACTTGATGGATAAACTTTTGAAATTCTATCAAGTTATTTTTAAATGTATACTAAACTATAGTATCTAAAAAAATTTGAGTTTTTAATGTATGAGTAATGGCTTCATCTTACGATTTTCGTAAGCTGCCCAGAACGAGATATCGAAGTCTCAAATTGAACACGGAATAGATAAACTGTTGTATACTTATGTGGATTTTTTTGGAAATTTATAACGCCGCTAGTATGGATTTATTATGCACATTGTAATGACGCATTTATTGATATGTAATCGTTAGAACAGGATCATTAAGAGAGAGGCTCGTAAAAAAACATTATTAGCAATTAAAGAGGATCGTGAAAATTTGAAATTGCGCAA